TCCAAGGTGCTGCTGGTAGAAAAGATATTAACATACAGGAGCATCTTCAAGGTGCTAGCCATCCCCAGAGTTGGTTGCCCCTTTTCTCACCCCATGCAAGTTGGCAGAACCAGGTCTTAACTGCTTTCTGGAAGGTCAAGAGAGTAGAGGACTGCCCCACCTCTGGGGGGAGGGTATTCCATAGGGTGGGGGCCATGGCAGAGAAGGCTTTCCTTCTGGGCCCCGCCAGATGACTTTTTTACTTGATGGGTCTGCAGCATACCCTCTCTGCTTGACTGGGTGGGATGGGTCAAATAATGTGGGGTGAGACAGTCCCTCAGGTAACCCTGGTCCCATGCCATGTAGGGCTTTAAAGGCAATAACCAACACCTTGAATTGACCTGGAAGCAAACTGGCACCCAATGGAGCTCCCGCAGGAAAGGTGTAACACGTGCCATCTTTGGGGCACCCAAAATTGCCCCTGCAGCTACCTTTTGAACCAGCTGTAGTGAATTTAGTGAACATGCCTGCTAAATAGGGGTTAATTCCATATGCTAATTTCAAAATCTGTTAAATTTGTTAGGGTCTTCCAAATTAAATACATGTTGAGTTTTAAATATATTTGAATCATGTAAGGAACAAGAAAGGGATATCCAGAAACAACTATGCTTATTTAGATGTTCACGTCAGTTGATTTCTTCCTTATAGGGAGCTGTTATTCTTCCAGACTTACGATCTGTTCTTTTGGATCCTGAACACTGGGAGACACCTGAAGAGTTCAACCCAAATCATTTTTTGGACAAGGAAGGAAATTTTGTGCTAAAAGAAGCATTTCTTCCCTTTGGAGCAGGTAATGTGTAGAAAAGCAGTTATGACAGGCAAATGATGCTTATTTTAGGGGGAGGTGAAAAAGCAAAGAAATATTTGCTCCGTGACATCTGAGGATTTGACCAGTGTAAATGAAGGACTCTCTTTCCACAACATGCAACTGGATCAATAGAGGCAAAGATTAGTGTGTCACTGGAACTCAAGAAAGAGTTAATTGACCCCGAGAACTAAACCTCATGGTGTTAGATTTACCCTAAACAGACCCAGTAATGAAGAGATAAAGCAGTTGCAGCCAATATCATGTCTTGTGGGAACTACTGACAATCCCCAAATTCAGGACAGCCTTATCTCTAGCCCGATTAAATGTCCTCCCCACAGCTATTTTGGAAGGGAAGTATAAGAACATCCCATATGAAACCCAATATTGCCCCTGTGACATGGGTGCTATAGAAACCACAGCCCATGTCCTTTTGTATGGTCAGTTCTACAGGGATATTCGCCACAAATGCTTGCTAACAGTTATTGATGTTAGGGGATAATTTTGTTTTATTTGTTTTATAGAATGTGTTTTTACTGGTCAATGACTGAAATAAAGTTTCTGTCTACTGATTGTGAGGTTACCTAATCCATATTTCTCCTGGCACTGAGACAAACCTCCTTAGCAGCTCTTGTGGGACTTTGTCTGTATAGCTTTTGGTTTCTCTCCTCCTCCCCTCCTGGCAAATAGTAATCTTCAAAGATTTATGGCTACCTACTCCAAAACACTCTGGCCAGCATACAACATCAAAATATAAAAATAAAATAGTTAATATATGACAAGAAAACATAACAGTATGGACTAAAAAACAGCCGTAAGAATGAAAAAATAGAACAGGGGCTTCACAAGCACACTAACCTCAGGCCTGGAAACAAAGCTAGGTTTTAAGGATCTTCTGGAACTCCTTCCAGGCACTATATCTGAACAAAAAGAAGAGGAACAGGTGGCAAGTGAGTAGGACACCTCTGAATCTTTTCACAATGGCCTAGATCTGGTTTCTTCCTCTGTGTATTCCTTGAAGGATAATTTGCTCCAGTCTGAGAAAAAAAGGGGTGGAAAAGGCAAGTTAGTCAAGAAGCGAGAGCCTCCTAGATACCTTCCTTGCAGTTGGAAGTGGTGTAAAACTGGCTATCACCATGCAGACCCAGCCAACCCATATCAAGCACTGCCAATCATGACAGCAATGACTTAGAGTTGCTGGGTTGCATCATAGGCAAAGTGCCAAGAAAGAGCCAGTAGACCCTCAGGTAAAATATGGAATCCCTCAACAGGTCTATCCCTGACTCTGTATCTTGAACTGAAGGGCAGAATGGCAGCCCCCTGAGGATGGCAAAGGGGTCTACCAAAGAATCCCCACCACTGCATTTTACGGGAATTCATGGATCCCTCTGCCCTTTCTGGCTATCTTAGAATTTCCTGTCCAAGTAACAGCTTCTTTTCATTGTTAGAGAATGTTGGAGTGACACTACTAGGAACATTTTGGAACTGTAAGGAAAATAGAAAGTGGTCCTTGTGCAAATATCTGAGTGCATCTGTGTGCATGCTCACAAGTCTTGGTGCGTTCAGGGTAGTCAGTAGAGAAGGAGGGAAGAAACAGGAGAAGAAACAGAGGAAAAAGGCAAAGGCTGATGGGTGAAAAACATCCCATTATCCTCCATGGTGTAAATGGGAATTGAAAAAAAAGTAATAGAAATGAATTGTCACAACAGATGATCCAGTTCTGCAAGACCCAAAATAAAGGAAAAAGACCAATGGTTTTGTTGCATTAACTTAATATGATTAACTTGGTTAGTGAAATAACCCATTTTCTAGATTCACTTCATCTTTTAAAACATGAATTACCCAGTTGGCTGAGTTCACACAGTGAGATAAAACACAGAAACACGGGGCACATTGAATGCTAACCAAACGTAGCATTTTAGCATTTAAGGTACACTTAGGATGCTTCTCTTGAAGGAGGAGGACTTCACCCATCAGCTCAGATTCCCTTCATAAGATCATTGCAAAGTGGGGAAATGCTTAACCAATAGGCAAAATGGATTATTACTGATTTGTTGTTTTTCCTTCTTTTTTTGTGTAGGAGCTCGTTCCTGCTTGGGGGAACTCCTTGCAAAGATTGAGATATTCAACATGTTTACCAGCCTGCTGAGGCAATTTAGGTTTGAGCCACCAGAAGGTGTGGAAAAGCTGAGTGAAGAATCTATAATAGGGGTGGCTGTGGCTCCCTCTCCTTACAAGATTTGTGCTCTTCCTCGTATCAGGACACCCTAAGATGGACAAATAACAAGAGGGTCTTATTTGTTAGATGTTATGATCTCTCTATGGAGTCCTTGGTGCTCTTTGAGCTTGGTTGTTTGCTTGCAGGTGTTTAATGACCCTACTAATAACATCATCAGTGCTAGTGAGTATGGAGTTTGCTCCCTAGTACATACAGTAGCTTGCCCTGCCAGTGTTATTACACCATGTTACTACATTACACTGCCAGGATTGTTACATTATACTGTGTTATTACAATACACAGTGTATTACATTACACTGGCAGGGAAAGGTACTGTATATAAACAGGAAGCAAGCCCCACACTCACTAGCACTGATGATGTTACCTAGTTGGGTAATGAAACATCTGATATTATCTAGTTGGTTGTTACCTATTTGAGTAATGGTACGTCTGCAAGAAACAACCAAACCCAGAGAACGCCAAGGATTCCGCAGTTCAATCCTGAGCTACATATATTCTCTTCTATATGATCTCTCTCTTATTCAACATGTTGTTCAACATGTTCAACAAACATGTTCAACGTGTGTGTAGATCAATCACCTTCAGTGGTGTGCCTGACCTTAGAAGGCTAGGGAGTCTTTGGATCTTGCTGAATGACTCCATACAGCATCATTCAGGATTGGTCAGCTTCCCGTCCAGCCCTGGCAGCCAAACCTAGCTCTCTCACACTGACTGCTGCAGTGGCTACAGCTGCCTGCCTGGGGAAGGGGCTAATGACGTAATTCTGTGATGGAATGGAATTATGAAGGCCACACTCAGGGAGGGAAACATCCTCTTTCGTCTCCTGAAGGGCGAGGAAGAGA